GAGAATCCAAATTAAATTGTGATAGCTTTATAACGCAATCGACTTAGATTTTGTAATTTACGGAAGAGTTCTATCTTTTTATAAAGTTATGATACAAATAATTACTTATAATTTTAGTCTAATAATTTTCATTGTACATACGCCATATATGGCTTTAAAAAAAGATGAACCTCTATCCAAACGACACCTCTCTATATGGATCCCTTAGGTGACTGGTTAATACAAGTTTCACTGCATTTAGGGTAGGGTGGTGTAATTTCGACCGGTGTTTTCTTTGTACTTAAGATTTGTTAAAGTATGTCACTGTTATGTTATGCTACAACTTTAAATGGATCCTTTTACCTTAAAGTTTGAAATACCTTTTATCTTTCAGATTATATTGATGTTGTATATATTTTTGGTTAAAATATGAAATAAATGTGTTCGATTTACAGGATACGTGTTTTGGGTTATATCGACCGTACGCGGGGTATTTTTGACCGCAGAGCCAATACAAAGGAAATAACTGGCGTCAGCTCTAATATGGTTAAAAAAAATATCAATTTAAATTTAACTGCTGTACAGCATAAAAGATCGAGTAAAAATACTGACCCAAAAAATAACAATTTTCTAAATGTACCTAATTCGAAGACATCGAGTGCACCAGATTTCTATGACGCCGATTTGCCAATATGGTTAAGGCATGCTACAAATGTACATTTACATGTACAGGCATCTAAACCGCATGTTGATAAAACAAATGATTTTTCACTATTGAAGTACTAGTTTCTACCAGGTATTAATGTACATAATTCTTATCCTAATGTTTTTTTCCGGACGGTCAAGAATTCTTTCTGGTGACAGATAGTAAATTGCGTCATATTACATTGGTCGCAGTTACCCACTGACGCCCGCCGTATTCATGTAGGGATAACTTTAGCCGATTTCTGTTCAGCTGGTTTGCAATTTAATTTATAACTAAATACTACAATTTAAAAGGGTATAGATTTTATTTTCAAAATAATATTTGATAAATCTCACGTCAGGGATATCCATTGATTGTCTTTCCATGCAAGATTTTTCAGAGGTGATAGTTCGCCGTAGTAGCAAAAATATACTCGTCTGTAATTTTTCGGGTGATAAAGCCTATTCTTTGATGTAATTTTCCAAAAAAAGATCTTAATAACGCTCATGGAAATAAAATTATTTTGGACATATTATATTAAAAATACGTTTTCTTTCTGCATAATAAAAATGTACATACACAATTATACGCCAAAAACGAAATATATTAAGATATTTATGATCAATCGAAATTAACCTGCAGGTGGTCGAAATAATACGGAAATTACACCACCCTACCCTATAGTTTATTACATATTTGCATCAAACTTTACAGAAGATTTACAGAATATTATGATATATTAAGTTTCTTATTATAAAGACATGTCATTTTTAATGGCTCTAAATGTAATCAATATTTAAAAAAGATAAAAAAAACATAAAGAAATTAAAAACAATCTTTTAATATGTTGATATTTTCATTAAGTCTTTACAATAGCAAAACTAAAAAGGAAACGGGGAATTGTGTGTCATTTCTATAAGAAAAATAAAATTGTGATCAAAGCAAAAAAAAATTTTCAAAACAGATCAAGAAGGGTTTCCACCTCTAACGTCTGCATAAACACTGCCCGAACAAATTATGATTTGCATCGTTATTATGGTGTGTTCCCGTTTTGCACACATTTGTAATTAGGTATAGAACAAAAGGTGTGAAGAGTGTTTTTATAGCAATGATAGTTTGATTTCTGGCTTAAATATACCTGGATTTACCTGTGAATACCTGGTTTAGCTTAATGTATTCTAAAGCAGTTTAATACAATTTTATAAACATTTTTGTTTTTTATTTGATTTTATTGAATACAATATTACCGTAATATTTATTTAATTTTATTTATTAAGTCCAATTTCTTAAAAAAAAATTCGGTCGTGATAGGTGTGAAGTCTTTATTAAACTCTAAATGTATTAATTTTCTTACTTTTTTGATACAAGTTTACCTTCCACATACTCACTAAGTATGGTATAGACTATATCAATTAAGTAATAAACTCACCTGGTCAAATTCCCGTTTTCACACATTTTTAAATTACCTGTAATTAAAATGTGTGCAAAACGGGAACAAACCGTTATTATTTATCTTTATGTGTAAGATAAGAGGAATTGTATGTAGTATGTTTCGTTAAAAGTAGAAAATACTTTACAACATACTTTTAACAACATTTCTTATTAAGAAACAAATGAAAGACAAATATTCGAAGAAAAAAAGGATGCTAAAATATGTAATATCTTATTGACAGGCTTCCGCCCTGTGTTAACGGAGGGAGAAACTCGTGTAAACATATAAGATTAAATAGATTTTGAAAAGGAAGAAAAATGCAAAATGAAAAAAAATCTGCTTTAGTATCTTTAAATCTCACAGCTCTGGAGAAAAGAAAAGAGACTGGAGAAAAGACAGTAAAAATTTAATGATAAAAAGTCATTAACACGGAAGACACATTTAAAAATATTCACAAGTTGTTAAGTCCTTAAATTATTTGTGTAAGCGTACTCTAATTGAGAAAAATTCAGAAATTTGTCTATGTATATGTATGAAATACGAAGTCGATGTCCCCCAATGGTCACATAAGTGTTCGTTTTTTCTACCCATATCGATAGTAATCTTTTTTTCTAATTTTTCTTTTATAAAACAGGACACCTCTAAATAAGGGATCAAGGTTAACGATCTGAAGTGAAGCTCAGCTGTTGTCATCATTGCCTGAAATAAAAATTGAAAGTACGAGAATAATTTGACACTTACAAACAATCCTTTGAAATTCTGTAGTAGGCATTTATTAAGGTTATGAAATAAATAATTTATTTTCTGAAATTTTAAACTGCAGAAAATTGCCTAAAAATTCGGTATGCTACCACTTAAGTTTGTTAGATAAAAAATCTAAACAATCCTAAAAAGATCTCTCTATTTTAAGATGTATTCACTTTTATCTTAAGATTTTTTTTTTTAAATATTTATACGAGTATTTAATCATATCTGAAGAATTTTTAAGGAGCATTAAGAGAATTTCTTGTCTTGTTTCTAATGAACTAAATGAATTATTTGAAATACATCTGAGTATACCGTTTAATGTCTTTTATAAATTTTAAAATATTAGAGATTTTCTTTCCTCTTCATACCTGTATTCTTTTCAATGGAAATGGTTAACTGAACAGGGAATAAATTTTGGTGGTATAAGAAGATAGGAAAATTATGGTATTAAAAAAATCTAAGACACTAAGAGCAATGTTGGAGAAATATGCTGGAAAACCATCTTTATAAACACTACTCAATCGTAAACGTATCAGTAGTTCATTTGTTTCTGACAAGCTTAATGACATTTACTATCATTATACTGTCTTCACTGCATTATTTACACAATCATTAAACTTTTTCCACTGCGACTGATTATTTCAGAAAAGTGATGAAAATGTAATATGTGCTTTAACAATTACAACGAAAAGCCTGAATTGTTATTGTTAAGAAAATACAAATAAGCATTTCTGATCAGTGTCTTTGTCGGCAAATATGTTGAGTTTTTAATATCTGTAGGATACTACAAAGTCAGAATTTGATCGCTTTTTAAAATGGGGAAAAAGTCAATATAGCGTGTTTCTGACCTAGTAAAGATTGTCAACTGACTTCTTTTTCATTTTGATGATATATCTCCTCTTTAACCTTATTTTAAAAAATGAATTAGTTAGTTGATATTTTTTTAACCTAATTTTTACAAGTACGTAAAAGTGAGTTTAATTGTAATTATGGCAATTGTTGAACTAGTTTTTGAATAGAAATATTGATAAATCAAGCAATTATAATTCTTGGATACTTTTGGGTTGTAGATTTAGAAATTTAGCAAAAATGGCCTATATCTTATTAGTAAAAATATATATCCATTAGACATTATCAAGAATGGAATTTGAAACCAAAACATTTGTTTTCATGACGTCATTGTTTCTCAAGGTCCGCGTTTTCTACATCATCCATTTATCTTGGTGAGATTCATCAGAGATAAATTAAAGAATTAAACTGGTCTTGCTTATTTGATTGCTCTATGTCATGAATAGCTGATTTCAATGCATATAATATTGTAAATAGATCTACACATAGTAAACGATCCTCACCTGATTATTACAGCACATTTGCTTGTCGGATTTTTAACATCTACCATACATGATCAATGTCATTTTTCGACGTGACAAATTTCAACACCCTTACTACAAATCGAATTAATTTTTATATCTCTTATCTTTTTTGGCACCTAGAAAAAAGTACTCTGAATGCATTGCATTTTTCAGTAGCCCACTTAAATATTTTCTAGATCTATTTTTCCATGGAGTTTAATTTTATATAATATTAGGGGAAAAAAACACCCCTTACCAACGTCATTAAATCCCTTAATTGTTTTGACGTTTCGTATAAAATATACGATTCAATAAATTTACAGTATTGGGTATAAATTGTATCATACTACATGAGTGAGTTAACGGGAGTTTTAGTGGCAAATGCCTGTATTAAAAAGATTTTTCACACTTACACTGAAGGTAGAAAAAAAGTGATTTTCGAGGTTGCATCGCCTGGACATTCTATTGCTTTCAAAAACATCAACATTTTATGAAAAAAATAAAACTAATGATTATTGTTTATTAGATACATGTAAATACAAAAAGATGAAGCTAATTAACCCTTGAAAAATTCATTGATGTGTCTTATTCGGTTTTAATATTATGGCGATAGTCCATGAACTTTTTGAACAGCCATCTCAGTAGAAATACTGAATGGATAAAACATTTTCTTACATAAAATATTTCTTTATTTTGTATATTATATCTTATTCTAAAAGTATTTTTATTCGCTTCCTGTTGAATATATATGCACTTCCAGATGAATTCAGAACAGGAAGAAAAAAAGAACAGAGCTCAGCTTCATATAAAGAGCGTTTTCAACCGAGCTGGACAGTAAGGGTAAAAAGTGGTGAAAAACTTAATTTAAATATTTTGTCTTACAAAGTGAAAAATGATTAAATTCAAACTCCTATGGCTAGTTTTAGTTGGGATGTTTTACATTGCACAAGGTAAGACTATTGTAAATATTTTTTATCGGATACTAAATGTATTGTTTTTTTATCATGTAATATTGATAAAGGGAGCAAGTTCGAATGCACTGTGTAGAACTTGAAACTTGAAACTTGTTTATTTAATTAAACGCCTATTTTTACATAAAACGTATTCAATGGCGTTGTACATTAAGAAAATAAAAGATATTTACATATATACATAAATTATACATATTCATAAAGTCCTTTTTTTACACATAATACTACATACATACGAAGAATTAAAACAAGGAATTGAAGTCTCTGAAGAAGTAATTTTTTAATTTGTTTTTGAAAATGTCAATTGATCCTGAGTTTTGAACACTGGTTGGCAGTTCATTCCACAGTTTGGGGCCGATGGTACTAAAACTTCTGTCACTAAAGGTTTTTCTCTTATTAAATGGAACATTATAATGACTTTCAGAATTTCTTGAAGAGCGTAAATTGACATTTGATGTTTTTTTCGTTAACAGTTCTTTTAAATACTCCGGTGCTTGGCCAACAGAACAATTGTACATGAATGTTAGAATTTTAAAAGATATTCTGCATTTGATTGGTAGCCAATGAAGATCAGAAAGGGCTTTCTTAGAACTGTCATATTTTTTGCGGTTTAAAACTAGTTTTGCGCACATATTTTGAATTCTTTGCATTTTGATGATTTCTCCTTGCGATATACCATACAGAATCACATTGCAATAGTCCAAATGGGATATAACTAAAGATAAAACTAAGACTTCTGTTGCTTCGGTCGTTAAATATTTTCGAATACATTTGATTTTTTGGTAATTAAACGTAGCTGTGCGGCATTTTTTGTTGACATGATCTTTAAAATTTAAGTTCTCGTCCAGAAAAGCACCTAAATATCGTATACATTTAACAGATTCGATCTCATTTTCGTTAATGTTTATAGATTTTGTTGTACATTTTTCTAGTTGCCGTTTGCTTCCAAAGAGGATGAATTCTGTTTTTGATGAATTCATTTTAAGCTTGTTTGCATTCATCCAATTGTTAATATCGATAGCACATTCCTCTAGCTCGCGAATGGCGTTAATTTCATTGCGTTTTGACGTTGGGTTAAACCATTTATTTGCGGTATGGTCGTGTGCAAAGCCATACACCGATATGGTTGAAGGAATGACATCAAATAAGGTCCCTGCGTATGTTAAATAAAGCCAGGGTCCCAGGCAGCTGCCCTGAGGAACGCTGCACTGCAGTTGACGTACCGATGATGTCACGGAGTTAACGCACACCGTGCAGCCACGAGGCCGCAGATAAGAATCTATCCACTTTAATGCCTAACCACATATTCCATACCGTTTTTGAAGTACATTCAGCAAAATTTCGTGATCTACCGTGTCAAATGCAGCACTTAGATCTATTGCAATTAAAGCAGTAACTTCTTGTTTTTCCATCGCGTCAAGAAGGTCATTTACAAGTCGTAGTAGAGCTGTTTCGCATGAATGAAAACGTCTGTATGCAGACTGATTTTTGGGGAGTAGATCATATTTTTCCACGTGCACATTGAGTCTATAAAGGGCTGATTTTTCGATGAGTTTAGAGAGAAACGACAGGTTGCTAAAAGGTATGTAATTTGACAACTCGAGTTCCAATCCTACTTTCTTTAACAGGGGTCTTACAATCGCCTGCTTCCAAGTTGAGGGAAATACACCATGCTTTAATGAAAGGTTTACAATTTTTGTAATGTTTGGTAAAAGTTCGTTTAGAAAAGATTTTAGAATATTGGTAGGTAGAATGTCCAATTCACAAGATTTGGTTTGTAATTCCATGATCAAATTTGTTACTTCAGCTTGGGAAAGTTCCTGAAATTCGCTAAGTAAGGGTACGTTTTTATGTTTTGGTTCAAAATTTTCGAGCGTTTTCAATGATTTTCTAATTTTGTCTATTTTGTCCATGAAAAAGTCGGCGAATTTTTCTGCTAAATCTTTGTCGCTTTTTGCGTTGGGCATTGGGATTTCCGTCCTAGTACCAGATAGTTGTGAAACAAATTTATACAGCTTTTTCGAATCTCCTTTAAAATTTAAAACCTTTTCATTCAAGACGCGTTTTTTCTCTCTATTTAACTCGTAATTATACTTGTTGCGCGCTACTTTCATTGCCTCGTACTGCTGTGGTTGTTTGTACTTTTTCCAGGTTCTTTCTGCTTTGCGCGAGATGCATTTTAGTTTAATGATTTCGTCTGTAAACCATGGTTTAGGTGCTCGCAGAATTCGCGTTTTTTGATTTACTGGGGCATGCTTGTCCAGAATATTGCTAACTGCGGTTTCAAAGTTTTGAACGAAGTCATTAATGTCGTCACAATCTATAGTTATATCAATCAGATCATGCCCAAATGCCAGATTATCAACATTTTTAAAGTTTCGTCGCGCAGTTGTTTGGCTTTTAACAGACTCTTTGCTGACGTCTATGGTAACTTTAACTATACAATGATCCGAAATAAACTCTCCCGGTTCACATAGAAGTACATTTATTCCCCCAACGGCCTCTGTTATAACCAAATCGAGACTGTTTCCGCCTATATGAGTGCTAAAGTCGACGTGTTGCTCTAAGCACATCGCGAACAGTGAGTCTTTAAAGTCTGATATTGCACCATTATCTTCATTAATATGCAAATTAAAATCACCCATGATCATAACATTAGAATACTTTGACATAACATCTTCCAAGAATGGAAAGAAGTCTGTATTGAATTGCGTTGGTGTTGACAGGGATGGTGATCTGTAGATTCCTAATGTATGTATGGTAATGTTTTTGAAGATCAGCCGCCAAATGCCGAATTCGAAATATTTTTTCATTCCAGATTTGATTTTATTTACATTTATCCCTGTTCGACATGTCAGAGCAATGCCGCCACCTATCCGGTTTGTCGATTTGCTACACTTATATTATAACCATTTTGGTTTAAATCGCAAGTTTCAAATTGATGTTGCTTTTCATCAGAAAACCAGGTTTCCGTTAGGAGAGCAAAGTCGACCTTATCGTCCCGAAGTAGTTGACCCAGTAGAACATCCTTTTTTCCTAGTGAGCAACAGTTCACAGTTACAGCAAGAAGAAGAAGTGTAGAAGAGTGTATTACATACTATTCCAAAAACTCTTTTACATTGAGGTTTTGAAGAAGTGAATAAATGAGTCAAACTAGAAAAAGTACGAACATAGACAATTAGTAGACTTGCATTCTGTTTGTTATTTTTTTAAGGTCTTCCGTCTTCACGGAAGACCTTATAGTGATTCTATTGTTTCTTATTAAGGTCTTCCGTCTTCTTCACGGTTTCTTATTATTATTATTATTATTATTATTATTTTTTTCCCCAAAATTTTGTGCAGGCGATTTATCGAAAACTAATCGTTGGTTTTCTATTAAAATTTCAGGAATTATGCGTCATTATATGAAGTTTCATTAGGAAAATTATTATTATTATTACTTTTCTGACCATCTGATTTTGTGCACTTTTCGTGTGCGATTTCTAGAAGACTACTGAATGGATTTTCATGAAATTTGCTGGAACAATGTGTTGTTATCTGAAGTTATTTTATCCGAGAGATTTTTTGGAAATTTTTCTCTGGTGCCAAGTTACGGACACGATTTTGTGGGTTTTTTTTTCCAGAATTCGGAAATTTTGTCTGCAGTTAATCTCAAGAACGATAAAAGATATCAATGTGAAACTTTCAGGGATTATAGATTTTCGTCATATATAGTAAGTATTAAACGTAACCACCGTTTTCCTAATGCACACTTGAATTAAACAAATACAAAAGACAGAAATAAGAAAACCATATCTAAAAAGATAATTTAATGGAGCAGTTCAATGATCTCATTCAAGTTATTAAACATAAATGGTGTCTGATTCCTTGACCGTCGTAGGGCGACACGCTTTTCGGCGAAGCAATTCAAGCTGTACATGAAAGTTTAAGTACCGGTAATCGGGATATTTCATTATAGGGATAAACAGCAAAATAAAAATCAGTTGAAAATTATAGCAGTTTCACTGATTTAGTGCTAGTTATCTATATACTATAGTACGATATAGAATGTGTAAAAGCGTTAAATATACTTTCTTAACAATGAAATTTAAGCTATACGAACATTCTTTTTTTATTTCCATTGAAACTATCACACCTATTTAATGGAACATTCCATTATGAATAGTGACCCGCCTTTCATTATTCTAAGACAGATGTACTGTTGCAGAAGTATATAAATGTAAATTTAAAGCTGTGGTCTCAATAGCGTAATAGTCAGCGCTTTGGATTTTTGCGCTGGCGACCCGGGTTTAATCCCCTTTGTTTCCATAAAAAGTTATATCACTTTTCAACTCGATTTTGTGGGTTTTTTTTTTCCAGAATCCAGGACGAAGACTACAGGATGGAACTTCATGAAATTTTCAGAAAAGATGTGTCATAACATGAACTTGACGATTTTTTGAAAATTCTTTTGATATTTACTAACCAGGACGCGACATTTCGTTCGTCGTCAATACTTCCTGTCGTTAGGTGATGCGAATTGAAAAAAGCTTATTTTCTAACTTTTGTGTTTTCCATTATTTATCGTCAATACTTCCTGTCGTTAGGTGATGCGAATTGAAAAAAAGCTTATTTTCTAACTTTTGTGTTTTCCATTATTTATTGCTTAGAGACCCTAGTTATTATTATTATTATTCTGACCATCTGATTTTGTGCACGCGATTTCTAGAAGACTACTGAATGGATTTTCATGAAATTTGCTGGAACAATGTGTTGTTATCTGAAGTTATTTTTCCGAGAGATTTTTTGGAAATTTTTCTCTGGTGCCAAGTTACGGACAATTCTCTGATTTTAAAATGCAATTTTGTCTGCAGTTAATCTATATACTATATAGCTTACTATATAAGTTGCTTGAATATTGGTTAATCTGAACGCTAGATATTAATATTTGAAAATCTGAAGCGGGCCCAAGATGGCGGCTGTCTCTGTTGACTCCGCCA